CACACTCCCCCTTCCAACTCTCAATTCCACAACCACACGTAGACACTCACACACTCAGACACATACACTGCTCACACCCCAGATAAACCCGTAAAACCGGATACATACCACTTGCACACACAACACACACACACTCATATACACCGCAACCATCCACTGTGCCATACTACAGACCTTAATATGGCCGCCCATCGCAAAAAAAGACCCCGAATACCCACAACACCGGGTGCCCCACCCACCAGCCCCGGACTCACCCCCCACTCGCACACGCAACACACACACACACATACATTGCGACCTGCCACTGCACTATAATACAGATTTAACCATTGCCGGTCACCGCAAAAAAAAAACGCACACCCACAACATCAGGCGCCCCACCCACCGGCCCCGGACTCACCCCCCACATCGACACACACCCACCCCCCCGCTGCCATGCACCCCACCCACCACCCCGTACCCTACAACCTATTTTCTCAAAAAGACCGATTTTTTTGCCCCCTACAACCAATTCACCCCCTTATAAAAGCAATGAAACCTACCCCCCAAAAAAAACAGTACAACCCACCCACTACACACTCCCTACACTCAGATCCCCTCCTTCCCTAGGCTAAGGGCCCACAGCCTTCCGCTGCACCTGCGGCCAAACGACAACACACTAGTAAAACAAACAAAAAAATGCCTTCTACCCCACATACATTTTCATACGGCCTGACCTTGCCATCAGCGAAAACCACTACCCTGAAACAACGCTACGCGACAGTACAGGAAAGAGACAACCTGGACATGATCCCGCACCATACCACAGACCTAACTATGGCCGCCCATCACACAAAAAACCCGCACACCCACAACATCCGGTGGCCCACCCACCAGCCCCGAACTCACCTCCCACAATGACACACCACTTACATATTAGAACACAGTGTCACACACACCCCCCGGCGCTGTACTTGCGGCCAAACGACGACACACAAATAAAACAAACAGAAAAACGCCTTCTACCCCACGTACGTTTTCATACGGCCCGACCACGCCAGCAGCAGAAACCACTATCCTGAAACGACGCTACGCGACAATACAGGAAAGAGACAACCCGGACATGACCCCGCACTACAAACCAAGACCTGCCTCACCATAGCCAAAAACCTGCCAAGCTACCCATTTCCCCCCCCAAAAAAAAAACCTCCCAACACACGTTCACTCCCCCCTCCCCCCACACACGATGTACCACTCACAGAAACCCCAACCCCCCACATTTGCTACACACCAGCTAAACCCACCCATCGCTGCCACTCACAGCCACAGTCCCACCGCCCCTCCGACCATTGCCTTGCCACTGCGTCACCCTCCCCCCCCACACCCACCCATCCACCATCCACCCACCTCCACGAACACACCCCTCCCACACCCCCACTCCCACCACCACTGGTAACCAGCCCTTCCTCTTCCCGCTTGTTTTCCCCCCCACCGTCAGCAACTCTTGCCCACCCTCACCGCCGCACATTTGCTACACACCAGCTAAACCCACCCATCGCTGCCACTCACAGCCACAGTCCCACCGCCCCTCCAACCATGCCTT